GTGAAGCCCCGTGGCCGGGCAGCATGGCCCCTCTCTGCCCCTCCAAGCTGGCAGCAACCTCCAGGACCCCTCCCGCCTCCCTCCTTCTCATACCCACACCCCCATCAGCAACCAGCCTTCATGTCATGGTCACCACCCTGGTGGGACCCACTGCCGGCCTCCGCCCTGCCTGCCTCTGCTTGTCCCCAGCACAGGGCCATCACTGGAAACATGCCAGGACACATGCTGTGCTCAAAACCTTCCTGCTGCTCCCTCCTCACTTAGAGCAAAGGTCATGCTGCTCTCAGGGACCCCACAGGCCCCAGGGACTGGCCCACCTTCGCTGACCCTCCCGACTTCCTCCCTCAAGTACACCCGTCCAGCCACACTCACACAAGGAACCTCAGCTCCCTGCAACCCCATCCTCAGAGACCTCCCTCATTCTGACTTCAGCCCCTGTGCAGGGCGCCAAAGCCTTATTCTGGTGTCCCAGATGAGGTGGCTCAGAGAAAGCAGCCTGGCTCCTGTCACCAGCTGCCAGAGTGGAGTAGCCTGGCCCCCACCCAGCTCAGAACACCCCCAAGGAGACCTCTCCTGGGGCCCTGGTGTGTCAGAGCCTGGGAGGAGGCTCAGTCTGCGGCTCCCCTGCCGTCCTGTTCCCTGCAGAGCTCCCTGCTGGTCCAGCCCAGCCCCAGGAGGGAGAACTGGACAGCCAGGGACACTGCTGGCCACTCTGGGCCGAGCTGCCTCCCCTGTGAAGTAGGCACACATCGTCACCCCGCATGCTCTTCAGGGAGACCACAGGGATACAGAGCTCAGCACAGGGCCTGGCACGCTCATGGGAGGTCAGGGGACAGTAACACGAGTGTGCGTGGAGAGCGCAGCCTACCTGCAGGCCCACTGAGCCTAGGCCTTCTGGGCATACAGGATGCCTCCTGTAGGCCCGCAAAACAGGTGTTATTACAGCACTGCGTGCATCAAAGTGCCCTGGGGTTTGATGGGCTAATTCACACTGGAGTGGGAAGGACTCTTATGTGTCCTCCCACACAGCAGAAAGAAGCCCGCATGGGCAGAGCAAGCCCCAGTGAAGGATCAGGGAGTGGGCAAGGTGTCTCTGTAGGCAGGGGCTTCTAGGAGCCCCTCAAAACTCATCAGCTGGGCCTATGTGCTCCTGAAACCAGCCATGCCAGGTACAAGCCCCGCTAAATCACGCTTCACATGTCCAGAGTGCCAACTGCCCACCTCTGCCTATCGACTTCCGACCCATAGACCACGACTTGTGCTGGATTGCCTCCTCCAGGGAACCCACCTGGATAAGCTCTGAGCTCCTGAGCACTGCACCTGGCTCCTCCTACAGGTCCTACCCGGCTGCTGGGCTGGGGCTCCCTGCCTGGGGCCCACATCCCGCAGCAGCTGGAGCTCATCAGGATTCTCAGGTCCCCCTGGTGGCCCTGCCCACACATGCCAGCTGGGATGGAGCCGCTGAGGACTGAGAACACAGGCACCCTCTCCTGCCTCCAGGCCTTCATCGTGGCTGTTCCCTCTGACCACATCCCCTCCTGTCCCCTGGCTGACTCAGCTTCATCCTTCAGGGCTCTCCTGAGGCACTACCATCTCCTGGAAGCCTCCTCAACCTCCCACTCTGTGCCCAGCTCCCCTCTGACCACTAACCTGTGAGAACCCCCCTCCCCGGGCAGGCCCATGTCTGCTTCCCCAGATCAGTGCCATGTCCTCTCTGTTGGGGGGTAATGCTTGCAACCCGAGGAGACCCTGGGGGGTGGAGATCCACCTGACTTCGGTCTTGCTGAGTGAGCTGCTGGATGAGAGCCATGCACCCTCAGGCCTGTGTCGCTGCCCCTGGGGAGGGCGGGCTCTCCCAGCACTGACGATGTCTAAGGCTCCCTTAGCACCCACGGGTCTGTGACCAGGGCCTCGAAGGCTCCTCACGTAGCCCAAGATGCCAATCTCCTGGCTCCCACCTGGCGCCGGCCATGCTCTGAGTCAGAGCTTGCAGCCGCAGGCCTGACCCAAGGCTGGAAACCTGGCCATCCTCAGGGTCTGGTGGCTCTTCATCTGACCCACCCCACCCACCTGAGCAGGGCCACAGAGTCCCAGGGCAGCCAGCCAGGCAGAACAGGGCCCCTGCAGAAGGCAGACTCCTGACCTCCCCAGTCCTGCAAGGAAGCGGTCTGCACTGCGGATGCCAGGGTCCCAACAACCCCAGGGCACCTGCTGACTCCGCCCAGCTCAGAGACCTGCACCCCTGCCTAAGCCCTTTGCCCCTCACTCAGACCTTCACCGGGTGCACGTCTGGCCCAGCTCTGTCCAGCCTGCCACCTACTCATGCCAGCTGTGGGGCCAGCCCCTCGACACCCACACCCCGTCACGCTCCAACCACTGGTGCAGCTGGACCTCAAGCCGATAGGTCACTCACTCAGCAAGTGCATCCCTCGCCTGCCTGGTCACGCTCTGTGCCGGGTGCTGGGCACCTGCGCGGGCGCCAGTAGATCCCAAACCTCCCCACCCCTGCCAGTTCAGCTCTGTCTCCTCCAAGACAACTTTCGAGGCTGCGTGGCCCGGTGAGCTCTCCCCTCTTCCTTCCCACCCAGCCCCCTCTTCTACTGGGCCTCATTAACTGCCCCGGGTGTGTCCTGGTTTCCATGAGGAGGGAGGGCTTCAAATTGCAACAGAGAAGAACAAATCTGACGCCAAATTGGATCTGCTCCTTTAGTTTTGACCACTGTGCCCTGTTTTCCAGGCTTAGCCTTGAAGGCTCTGCACCTTTTGGGAAACAATGTTGCCTTTAGCCTGAAATAGACAGGAGAGCCTATTCTTGAGGCGCTGACCTTTAAGAATGTCAGCACTTCTGCACTTCCCTAGAGATGACAAGCTGCAAAATAGAGAATAACCCTTGTTTTGTTGGAGGTTTACAGGAACACCAAGCCTGACCCACACTGAGGGCTGCAAAAACAAAGCGTTCCTGCAGAGGCAAGTTTGCAACAAAGAACCCCACCTCCCCCACCCTTTTTTTTTTGCATAAAAGGAGCCTGTATTCTGACTAGAGCAGGATGGTTCTCCAAGACATTAGTGGCCA